TTGCTTTTTGTGAAGTAAATATCTCGTAAACTACTAACTAGTCAGTTTTAAACTTAAATCTTAAAAGCAACAAGGAATATACTCGTATATAAATTCTGGATTCATTTTGTATAAATTGTAAATAATGTAAGTGATGAAGTTTTAGTTTAGATGTGGCTCAATTTATTTTAGGATTAAAATCTTCAAATATGCGTCAGATTCTTCTTATTTGCATGTTTTTTGTTGTCTCTAATTATACCTTATTATGAAATAATAAATTATCAAACAGACAGCTTGGAAATATTTTTGTTGTAAATTTATTTATGAAATATTATCATTTTTACTCATCAAACGATTCTATAAAAAAATGCCTATAAAAACTTTTCGTCGTGGCTTGAAATCCCTTGTCCTCATATCCCATTCGTTATTATAAGAATTGTAACTTTAATTGAATTTTGTAAAAGGAAAGGCGTGTCCGACTGCTACTTTCTTTTATTCAGGAGTCTTTTATAAATATTATTTTATTTTACTTGAGTACTTTAATGACCTATCTTCTAAAATATCACAGCAAAATTATATCTTAGATTTTCGCGTGTCTTCATTTATAGCAAGCAAAATGTCGCTATTATATGGTTACAAAATAATAAAAATCACCCAGTATCTATTAAGAATAACTTCTTCACTATCAAAGTAGGTGAATTTTAAAGTGACTATTTAGTATTTAGTTAAATTCTTAGAAATGGAAAATAATTAATTGTTTTTGTATTACGTTTTGACAACGATTTCCTTTCCTTAATAATGTAGAATATTTTATTTTGTTATCGTTTAAAAAAAAATTATAATGCTAGGCATTTTACCTGATCCTATTATTGGATCTTATTACTTTGCTATTAAGGTAACTATAAATCACACAACGAATTAATATTTAATTATTCTTGGGTCTTGTGTCATATAAAAGAAAATTTTTCAAATCAAACTCATTCCTCAGAGAAGAGTTTAAACTAAATTAAAAAACAATTTCTACAGTTTTATAATAGAAGTATTAATTTATTACGTATCTTTTTAAAATATATAATGGTAGATAGTTATTATCAATCATCCCATAAATATTTCCTACTCACATAAACAATAAGAAATTTTTTAAAGTATATTTTAATATAATTTAACATCTTAAATCTTACTTCACAATGTTATCAACTTTATAGGACACTGGTTAAAATTTATCATTAATGTCTCAATCTGTATATCCAAAGCTGCAGAACATCATAAAATCACATTCGGACCCATGTTATCACATTTACAATACTACCGTGCTAAGCTAAACAATGCAGGGACTACCATCCAACATTGTAGATATAAATGTAACTGTCGGTGCAATGCGCATGGAATTTCTAAACGCTATTGAAATGCGGAGTGAAGACACTTCTACATAATACCTAGATTGCCTTACAAAAGCGATATTATAATTCTTATAAAGTCAATAACTTTCGCAATTGCATATACTAAATTTTTGCTGATATAATAAAATGTTTGAAAAGTCTTTGCTATGTTAAAAACAAAAACTAACTATTTTTTAGTTATAATACTTAATTTTTACTCATTTAAATAAGAGTTTAATTTAAATTATTGATGTTTGTGATATTAAATTTTTAAATTGGAATTTATAATCATTACAACTGTTTATTTACCTTGCAATTTACATACATAAGTATGTTTGTATTCTTGATCCTATATTTTATATTTTTGAATACAACCTGTTATTCTTTTACGTTTTCTGGCTGAGTAAAAAGTATTTAAGCTAGCCCTTCTTTCCTAGGTTGTTGTATTACTTGCCTCGTTTTGGTGCGAAGAATCCCGAAACTTCACTATCCTTTTCGGACAATCTACATACGTCTTCTTTCTTTGAGGCTAGCACAAACAACGAAACCAGCTTATTTTTGGCCGTGTCCAAGTACAAGATCGAAATAGAACTCAGCTTGTATACACGAGGTCTATACGAAACCTATCCGTTTCTTAATAACATGACAAGCTAAGCACTAAAATGAGAATGGACCAAGTATGATAAACTGTGATGGTAAGATTTCAGTAATATACTTATATTTACCTCTGTCTCTTTTTCCTAAATATTAGGAAAAACAAACCAAATATGAGGTTTAAACAAGTCTGTTGGTTTATCAATTATTTCCTATTGGAGGATACTTATCCACTATAACTGACTGCTTATTTATCTAGCATCGATAATATATGACTCTACAGATGTTAGATAATTAGCCTCTGCCTTTTGATTTAAATTCCTTCTACAATCATATATGTACGTAGATGCCGAAGTAGAAAATATATAATTTGCAGCACTGCTACCCCTTTTAGTGGTAAGCCACAGCCGTGATTACATTAAAATTTGTCCTAAAGCATCAGGGTCAAGAGGGTGTAAATTTTTAACTTAGAAAACTCAAAGAAACAGAAAACAATATGCTTGGAACACCTGTATGATCTGGACTTAAAATTTTCAAGTTTCAACCAGTCAACCATTCTTTTTGTTTTCTTGCCAAATCGGCTAAGTGAAACTTGAGAACTTCACCACGAGAAACTGAAAAGAAAAATATTGTTGGAATCTGGTTTTCTTAGGCTACAAAAATTTGCATATGTTTGCGTCCCATTCTATCAAATAAAAAGTAATAATAAAATAATACTTTTCATTATCAGTTGGAAAAGTAACACCATTTCTTGTGAAATGAATTTTATGTTAGATTAAAAAATTCAAGCTATACTAGAACAGAGCTTTATCTTTCCTTTCCAGTAAAGAAAACCCCCATGTTTTTCATTTTATTGAAGTCCTAAATACGGATATAAAGAATTTATAACATAAGGTCGTTCGCAAAACGAGAGTTAGAGGAACATAAAAAAAACTTTAATGTGTTAAAAAGTTATTCCAGTTACTGTTTAAAGCTATTAAATAACTATTATCAGACACATGAATGACTTTATACATAGTTCAATGAGAACAAATCATTCAATACAAAATAGAAAAATTATAAATTTAGAATGAATTAAATATATTATGCACTTACATTTACACAAAAAAAACCGCTATTACAAAAACAATAACATTTTATTCCTCCATTTAGTTCTGAATGTTATTTGGAAAATTAAAAAGTAATGATAAAAAATTATGTACATATAAATAAAAAGAAATTAAAAATATAAATATAAAAGAAAATCATTCAGAAATTAAAAAATCATTTAAAATAAATTCCATATACAATTTACAATCTTTGTGACAAAATACTTTAAAGATTTCACTAACGAATGCATTTAACAGATGCGGTTTCTCATGTCGAAGCATTCACTGGAATTCGAACAAATTTCAGTGAAACTTCCTTTATAGTATAAGGCGCGTCTGATTTTGGCTTTTACAGGCATTTCGGCTATCATTGTATTAAAATAGGTCCGTAAAGCGAAATATATCCGTTCTGAGTTAATCTAAAAACTAATTATATTTTTATACTCGATACTACTTCTTTGTATCTCTAGATCTCCATTTCCATCTTTGCACTTTTTATTATTACAGTGGAATAAAACGAGTACTTCACTTTAAGTGAATATTATTTTATCATGTATTTAATATTATCATTAATGACAAGTTATATCAAGTGTAATATAATGGTGAAGATCCTATTACATGAACTTGTAATTTTGTGAAACAATAGTATCAAATTCGTTCTTACAATTTTTAAATCCATTAAATAGATAATGGTGTAAACTCGTGGAATGGAGCCAACATTACCTGTAGGTGTTCCGTAGCATCTCTAGAGGGTTGGCTCGAACTGTTAATGCCTTCATATTACGAAAACATAAAACTAAATTAACACATTTTTGGTACCTTCTATATAGCAGTACATTACATTAATTTTATATAAAAACGTCGTAATAAATTACTTACTTACTATTACCATAATGCTTTTTTTTACGAAAGACAAAAAGATATAATAAAATTATTCTCAACAAAACATTCGATGGTTATATTTATAACTCGCTAAAGCTTATTTTTTTAGTGTACTTCCCCGCTTCGCTATAGTGATCTTTTGTTAACATCTATAATTATTCCAAGTAAATTATAAAAGGTAGACATCTACATGTAGGTAGACATTTACATGTTTTTGTTGTTTTCGTTTGTTTGTTTCTGTAATCCTAATGATATGTAATATATATAATATTAACTGTATACAGGGTTAAGCAATTATACGTGAATACAAGAACCCCAATTTATGGAAATTACACTTGAAAGTAATTCAAATATCGCGTGACACGTAACTATAAAAATCGCATAATTAATAATCACAACACCAGTCATTTATGGTAATTCCAGCTATTTATTATTCTCTTACAGTAACGCGTCTTTAAGTTCAATGAGCTTGAGCTCCACTTTGCAATTTCAGTGCGACAAAGATCTTATCTCTATCAATTATGGCCCATAAAACCTAATGACTTCATCGTAAATCTTGACTTCACACGACACAATTTAACTAAGTGTTGAGTAAATCAGGTCAATTCATTTTTGAATATTAATGATATCTTTTTATAAATTAAAAAACGTACATATAAAAATTAAATCAAAACGGCATTAACATTTATAAAATTTTATTTAAAAATATACTAATAATACTTAGCAACTATCTAACACTCAATGCCCTCTTAAGTTTATATAACGTCTATATCTAAAAGTATTTATCGTATTTATTTAGTGAGCTAAATTCTTCTTAATATCAAAATATTAGTAAACTCTTTATACTGACAAAAATCTTAATTATGTATAAATATTTCACAAAAGTCGCCGTTAAATATTTTTAAATGAACGAATGAAACACATTTTTGAATAATAGGCTTGCTTAATAACGTTAATGAAAATGTACCACAGAATTAAAACCCTTAAAACTCGACAATATAACTCAATTAATATGCTGCGGTTATCATTGTAAAGTAGCCGTACAATGCGCGCATAAAAAGAATTCTTTCCGTGAATTTTACAATTCAAAGTCAATAGGGGGTAGAGGCGGAAGTGTGTTTTTCTCTTTCCACAGTTCAAATCGGGTCTCTTGAGAATCTGGAAAAAGAGAAAACCAACAAAGATAAGCATTTAAATGTCGAAAGCCGTAAAAAGAAACCTTTTGAATTATAAGCTTCTCTCTCGTGATGATTAACGTTTCAAAAGCGCTCTCAAATTCTTTATGAAAATCGTTTAGTACGAGTCGCTATCAATAACTGTTACTGAATTTTATTTAATATAACCAAGTATACATTACACTAACCCTATGTTTTTACCTGTCGCCCTTGATGATGAAAAAGAACCTTGCAATAATCTGCTGAGGATCACTCGGGAGGGTGACAAAGGGCGACGTTTTTGTTTTTTTTTTCGTGATTTATATTCGACAAACCTATAAAAGAATAGATTTATTGATGTTAATTAATACATATAATTCAATTTATTACCACAATCTACTCTGGCTAGCCTTTTGTTTTCCGATCTATCGTAGTTGCACAACGCACTTGGAAATACATACCTTGTCTAGTTTTCCTGTTAGTTTTTATTTCTTTTGCGGAAACTGGTTGCCTCAATAGACGTAAAACAGTGTAACAACAAGCAATCACACATGAGAGCATGCAAACCGCTGCACCGCATTCATATTTCCATGGACACTGAGAGACAATTGAAAAAGAGTGAAGTTTTGTTTCAAAAGCTTTTGTTTTCAAACGCAATAACTAGACCAGTCCAGAAGAATTGCAGGTATTTTCCAATATACAGACATCGATATGAAGAGCTTAAAAAAACATGTAAGAGGGGAAAATTTAATAAATCTAATATCCAAAAAGATATCAGGTTTAGTTCATAATTATGCAAAACTCCTTTTCCATTGGAGTAATTATCTGTAGGAAACTCCATATTTGTATGTTTTTATCCACTTAGTTACCCTGTATTTCCTTGAGTGCAATGAAAGGCGACATGATCGGGAGCCGGGTTCAGAGCTCGATCCCTGGGGACAGTTTCTGCAAACGTTTTCACCTTCCAAAGAAAACGTGTTGGGCGGACAAACAGCTAAAATAACAATGGTATCGTAGGTAATTCAGTAGAATAACTTGCCAGATTTACCCTTAACCGTATTCTTATTGGTCACTATAAATTATATTATTGTACATATAATTATAAAACTACTTAATATAGCAGGAATATAATTTGTATGATTACAATATAAATTGTAAGTTCAATAATCATTTACTGTTTTACAACATCAACTTAGAATGTAAACAATCTGCATTAAAAAAGTTAAAGAAAATCAACTACAGTTGTAAGTTTAATTAATAAGACTGAACAACAGTACGGACCACATATCTTCTGTCCGACTACCAAGTAGAAACCAGCGGAGCAGAGCAACACCACATTAACACTATTTGGATCCATGTCTGCGGCGAGGCTGTGGTACTCTCGATGTCCGTTTGCATCTTCACGAGATACGTACATATATTTGCAAAATAAATTTGTATGCTAGTGTTATAACATATATGTACATATGCAAGAAGTTTAAAGTTATAACCATAACAATGTACTATTTTACTATTAAAGATATGATAAAATTATCATTATTATTATGGAATAAACTTTATACGATATCAATAATTTATATTACAAACTTTTTATATTTAAAATAACTTACCCTTCTCCCTTAATGTATGAGTTACGAAAGACCTCCTTTTCTCTCTTAAAGGAAATAAGATTCTTTTCGTATCATTGTCATAAATTAAAACTGAAATAATAATTGAACGACAATTAGTATCATACAGGCGTTATTACAAATAAACAATTGTGACAAAAATTGTCTTAGATATTATCCGTTATAGAGTTGATAGGGCTTACATAATTTGCGTCAAATATAATACAGAATTTTATTCTGTTTACTAATTACTTTTTATGCAATATGATAATTTTAAATCTACCTTTTACTGAAGCCAATGCTGGTGCATTTTTAGCGAGTAGTAATGTTTTAGAACAATGCAAATCTCTGAGGCATTTCGCACTACAGTTAATATTTCCTTGCCGCTTGACGCTCATAACGACTATCGGGCGAATTAATATCGAACCATCCATCTATTTGTAAAAAGTTTTATTTTAAACAAATTACAAAACACGGTATCCATAAATGTATAATAAAGCTTCTTCGTTGTTTATGAGGTTAAATAAGAAATATTTGTTGACCACACAAATATATGTTTGAAATATTTGAAGTTTATTTTCCAATTTTATATAGTGAAAACTAAAAATAAAAAGAATGGTTGTAGTACATTAATAAAGAAATATTTACGCTATCTTTCAAACAAATAGGTTCATCAATCCTTGCAGAACACTCCTTTTTACATGTAAACAGTGACATATGTTTACCGAGTTTCTGAAGATTTTTCAGATGCTGTAAATTACATATTTTAATAAATGAATTGAAACAATTATTTAAAATAACATAAAATATTAACGTACGTCATAAGAACAGGATTCAATTTCATACAATGGTGTGAAAACTATGTCGATAGTAGGCAGCTCAATAACAGTTAGCTTGATACTCCTAATTATTGCATTGTTCTGAAAAAATAAATAAGTACAATTATGCTAGCTGAAATTTAAAAAAATGCATTTTTTTAAATTTTATATGGTTTGTTGTGAAACAAAAACACTGAATCGAAAATTTGTAATGGAAATTGCTAACAACTATATTTTATATTTAACTGATTTAAAATTTAATTGTAGATAAATATAGTATACATAGCAGCATATTAAAATGCAACTCTAGTTTCCATACAGAGCTTATTAATTATTATTTGAGAAAAAAATTGTTATAAAGTAAAACTAACCTGAACAGAATTGTAAATTAAACTTGTCGTATGAAAATAATGTTTACTTACCGTATTACATAAATAGTTGCCAGAGTTATTTGTTTGAACATTCTTTATGTACACTTTTGGACCGTCGACGATAACGTTTTTAAAATTAAGTATTCCGATACGATCGGTCGTCCAAATATAGTTACTGTATCGATTTTTAGTCGAATCCGACGTATTACAATCAAATGTTATAGAGTCAGCTACCATCGCGTAAATTTCATCCTGAAATCATGAAAATTATGTAACTATTTTATTGCTAGTGTAACTTTAATCGTTAGTTTTCGTGTTTTATCTTCTATAACAATGAAAGTAAATATTTAATGGCTTATCGCAAAGAAAATCCTTAATATGAAAAAGAATTCTTATATATTAATATAAAAATAAAAATCTAACAAATAAACTTTACGATAGAAGGGCGCAAAGGAGGTAAATTTTGTAATCCTTCATTAAGTTCAGACATATCAGCATCCAATCTTTTTCTTCGCTTTAAACTTTTTCCATAAATGCCATCTTTTCCTCTTATAAAATTTTCATAATAATCGTTTTCACCGTCCAAAAGTTGAATAAAGTTGCCATTTAAATCAGAATTCTTTTTTTGTTTCCTTGTTCCAGATAGATAATTGGAAAATAAAAGCAAAGGTTTTTGCTTACATCCTGTGTTATTAATTTAATCTATGTAAATAAAAAAATATGGATGTCATCTATATGATTGTAAGCCATAGTCTAGAAACTGGTAAGGTCTTCAGTTAACTATTTGTATACAAATAAAAAGCGTAATTTTTATGTTTGTCGATATATAAATTAGTTAAATGGTGAAGCCACAAGTATATTCACGAAAATGTAGACAATAAGAAAAGGAAATCTTGTTTTCAATTAATGCTACAACTGTCATTAATATTTATATTTACCTTCCTCGGTATCATCCTCAACTCTGGTTTCATCATTAACAGTTCTTTTATCCCTTATCCAATCCCATTTGCTAAATCGGTTTCCTCTCATATTTCCAAGAAATTTTAATTGGTGTAGGCGTTTTTTTAACCTTTTCGAAGGTTTTCTTATACAAGACCTAATTGTAAAGTACTTTGGTGCTCTCTTATACTTTTGGCATAGAATATTTTTAACATAGTTCTCAAAATTATTGTTTATTAAACTCTTTTGTAATTTAGTCACAAAAGCCATAGTAGTAGAAATATCACATATTTGACCAAAACCATTTTCATCAGCCTCTTGAAATAAGGGTCCAATGTATAATATTACACTTTTATTAAGTATTTTAACCAAATTAAACTATTGAAAACTATTACCTTATCTTAACTACATATTAAAAAAGTTACAGTATTCATAAAAAAGACGATGTGTTCTCTTACCTTTCAAAGATTTACTTTCAAAGTTACAAGTGTTAATTCTTTTTTTGTTTGGGCTTATCTTAGTCACATTCTAAAACATATTATTAAAATATATTTTTACACACATAAATAAGGACTTTTAATGATTGATCAAAAATGCCTTCAAAACTAACCATTTTTGTTACTACGTTTTCTGATTCAGTATCATGAGTAGTGGGAACAGTTGTCTTGACATTATTTCCTAGCAGGTAAAGAAATTTCTGATATTTAATCCGTATTACACTGTATTGAGTATCGTTCTTATCATCATTACCTTTGCATACCTGAATTTAGTGACTTGGTAAGAATGGTACGAGTTGCCCAATCATCCATGGAAACGTTTTGTTGGTTATTATCTATTTCGTTTACCTGTGGAGAAAATATATAATAAATAGGTTATATCAAATATAAAAAAAAATTAAAAGTAAGAGAAATTACAGAAAAGAGATAATATACACTAAAATGTACTTTTACCCGGAAAAGGTAGATAAGTCTTCATAATTTTTTTAAAAAGGGTAAGTTTTTTAAATATGAAATTTCCCTTACCCCGGCTTAAGTCACTGGTATAAAAATGCTTTATATGTCTATATATCAATGTTTAATAATCTGCTTACCTGGGACTTTTTAGCACTTGGAGTGGATTTCCCTGAAACCTTGTAAAACATATTATTTAGTGGATATTTCCCTGATCGTGAGGTGGTTAAATTAGTAGGAGTAAGCCTTAGGCCCTTTGTAATACTAGTGACTATATCATAGTCAAGATATTTGATATTGTTTTGAGTAATATTGTTATTACTGTAAAGTAAAAGTTATTACCGCACTGTCAAAATCTCCTTCAAGAATTTATCTAAGAATTAAAATTAAAACTTTTGCCTAATCATTACTATATATACGTAGCGCTGTTGTGTACGATCAGAAGTTAAAAAGAAAATATAGACTTACGAATTTTCTGCTTGTACTAAAGTCATCATCGTAGAGACAAGTTCTGTAGTATTTCTTTTGTTTTCACTCAAATCTGCAGATTTTGTTTCTTCCAACAAGTTTAATCTAGTTTTTTTATTAGTTTTCAGTAATAATTTACGTGTCATAGCATTGTTATTACTTTTTTTTGTTGTAGTAGATTTTTCAGTATAATCAAGATCGTCGATTATAATAATCGTAGGATTCCTTGATGCTGTTACATTATTATTTTCACTTATATTATCATCATCTTTAGAAGGCTTTATTTCTGCGTTAGGTACAAACTTTTTTTTATATTTATGTAAATTTTTCGAAACAGGTCTTTTTTCAACGTAGCTAGATTTTGAAGTTGGTTTTTCTTTGTTTTCTTTTTTACCCAAAAATTTCAAGGAAACTCCAACTAACCTATTAAAGAACCCAACCTTTGTTTGTGGTGTTAAAACTGTTGCAATATGTTGGGTTTTAGGTTTCAAAGTTTTTGGTGAAATATTTCTTGTAGTTTTACGTTCTTCATTTATTATACAAAGCTGTTTGTTGGTTTGAACCGTTTTGGATTTTAATTTTGAAGAATTTGTTGTACTACTATTGTAAGGCTTTTTTGTGTTCTCAATATTTTTAGTATTGCTCAAAGGAGTCAATGTTTGATTGTAAACAGTTTTTTTTGATGCAAAAGTTGATTGTTTTTTGGTTGTTGACTCTAATTCAAAATCTCCTTTATTCATTTCTACGGTTTTAAAACCACCCAATAATTTAAAAAGATCATTTAAATTATTATTCAAAGTATCCGTTTTCAAAGCTACCAGCTCATCCTTGTCGTTTGCCTCACTATTTTTATCTATTGTGTTGTTTAAAATAAAAGTGTTTGCAGTTGTGCTTTTTTCAGTGACTGTTACTATACTTAAAGTACTAATTGACTGTTTCACTAAATGTCTTTGGCGTCTTATTTCTCTCACATTAGTATGAAAATTTTTATTCCAAAATATTGCAATATCAGGAGACATTAACGGAGTTTTAGCTCGATTTTCGATTGAAGAATGTCTTTTATTTCTCTCTTTTAGTTCTTTTATCAACGTTCGATCTCTTTTATTTTGACCTATTTTTAATTTATAGGAAAATTTTTTTAGTAACTCTTTTACACCTTTTTTCTTTTCTCTTTTTATCTCTTCTACATCAAAATACAAAGGTGTATTAACATTATCTTCGAATGACATAACATTGGTTATATTACTTGAAAGATCAAAATTTTGATGAGCTGTATGATCCTTGTTACAAATTAAGTTAACCTTTACATTATTAAGCGTGTAAAAACTTTTGTTGTTTATATCTTCTTCACTAGCTATAAACGAACGCTTATTAATATTTCTGTTTATACCAGTATTAATGCACTTATTAATACTAGCGATACACATTTTTCCTCTTTTAAAAACATTTTCATCGAACACGTCATTCTCCACAATATTTTTTAATCTAACGTTAAGTGACTTTAAGTGGTTAAGGAGTTTACCCTTAGAATATTTTTTATGACACTCACGTTTGTCAATACTAGTAGAAATCATCTGACAAGTTCTACCTCGACATTTATCGTGTAGTCTTTTGTAATAGTTATTTAATGTTGTATCCAGCCTATGAACACTATCTTTTAGTTTTCTTCCTCCAGTGGGATTCATCCAGAAAAACGTTTGAATTTCAGTACAATGGTCAGTCACATAGTTAACTAGGTTATCAAATTCAAATGTTAATTCACTAATGACTGCGTCACTAGCAGCACATGGCTTGCACATGGTTGTATTAATTTTGCAACGACAATTGCAAACTCTTTCATGATCAAAATACCTTTTCATCTTATCCCAACTTATGCCTCTTTTTATTTTATTGTAGTCTATATCTTTTATATAACGTTTAGATTTGGTTTCGTTCGCGACAGGTATATTTTCATCCAGCTTTACTAGTTGGCTATAAACAGTAGTTATAATATCAGGATTTATAGTAGCTTTACTTACATTACCGTTACTCAAAGTTTTAATATAATTTTTACATGTGTTGTTTTCAAATGAAAGCAGATTTGAAATTCCTATATTTCTTATTGGTTTAAGAGCAAAATTGAGATTAGGTGAAGTTATATTGGTATTTTCAACCAATAAATATAAGCCTGGTGAAATAACATCCTGAGACATTTTAGTAACATTATCGTCTTCAAACGTACGAATTTGATATTCCAAGTCTACAGGGGTAGACATAACAGCTGAAAAAACTTTTCTTACTTTAATAGGTTCCAAGGACCTTTTTCTATCGTTCAAATTATTGGGTAATGCAATGTGAACTTGTATTGAATTGGTTGCATGATTGTCTGTCTTAGAAGCAGTTAAAATATATGGAACATTTTTATTTTCTTCCATATCAGGTGAAGCGTTGCGTAATTCCTTACTATTTAAAGTTTCTGTACTTTTAACTAAATCTACAACAACTTCAAGAGCAGCTACACCTTTAGCGGTGAATGTATTTTTAGATTGTATACCGCGCTTTTGAATCTTATTTTTGCAAGTAGGTTTCTCTTCTTTTTTTCTGTTAATTTGACGTCGAAGAAGAGGTTCAAAGTAAACCTACATTTATTAAAATTTCATTAGTAACAATGAACATTCTAATAAAAATTTGAAATCAACATAACTTATAAAAATAACTTACCACGTCATCCATATTTTTTGGTTCTTTTAAGGCAAAGTAAAAGTACTTTTTAAACTTTTTGGTTGCTGTACTTAAATTACTTTTCAATACTTTACCAGTCGGAGTAAGTGTATAGTTAGTACTCAGTGGTTCCAAAGGAGTGTAGTTTTCTTCCTTAACGTTTATAAGAACTGATAACAAAAATATTCCACAATAAAATAATAATTAAGAACCAAAACTCACTTACCGCTTTGGATGCCATCTGAGTGGTATTTATGCATTGTTCGAAGTTATCTGAAAAGCAAAGAACTCTATTTAATTATGATCATCAACTTTGTCACAGTATTTCAAATTCACAATAATTATATTAACTCATATATGGAATACACCTTTTAAAGGAAAAAGTAATAGAAATATTATTGATTTATTATAAATTTTGGGTTAAAAAAACAAATTACCTTTGCGGTAAAACCTTAGGTGATTCAAATTTTCATATTTTATACTTGTCATCCCAGGGTAATAATCCTTGCTAAAATTTACTTTTAATATCAAACGCCATGACTAAATGAAAAAAATTGTTAGTGATCCGATATTTACTTACTATCTTCCAGTACTTGTACTTTCATTAAAATTGTATGTCGGATACACGTCATCTAAAATATATAGTTTATTAATGATTACTTATCAATAAATATAAATATTCCCTACCTTTAATAATATTTACATGCATCCAAATCCTGCATCCAATAATTCATTGGTGTTTGATAGATTATGTCATACTTATAACTATGACCACTTATTTGTACTCTTCTTGGTATTGTTTGGGACAACTTTTTTTTCTGGTTTATAAATTTATATAATTGATTATTCTCCGCTTTTGTTGTAATATTTTTAGCAGGCATGTGAGTAAATGGAAGCCGATCTCGATAGTTATTCATGTCCCTGGAGTTGGAATCATTCTTATTTGATGTTTTTGATTTCATTGTAACCAGTTGCAGATTATTAGGGTCATCCAAATTTTTCATTAAAAGTGAATTATGCATGCCTAAAATTGATTTTCTACAATTATTGAGTGTCACATCAAAATTTCCGATTTTATTCGAATTAATTGGTTGTTTCTTTGGGTCGTTCAATTGGAATAAGTCCAAAGATTCAGACGTTGCAAAAACCATAGAAGTTTTCTTTAGCTTGAATAATCTCTCGTCGTTCATAATATTTTTTTCATTTTTTGTTCTATCGAGTCTTTTTTGAGAATTTTTATTACTCTTCTTGTCTTCACCCAATTGTTTTTGACTTTTCAAAGGAGGTGGTGAAGACTTTACTTTACTATTGTTAATATTCATTTTTTCTGAATTTGGGTAAATATGGCCGTAAACAAGCGGACGATCCAAAATTTTCTTATTTTTGTCTTTCGATTTGAAGCGTTCATAATTTTTTAATATTTTTTGTTGTTTATTTATTAATCCTGTAACATTTTGTTCGAAAAGATCCCAAGCATCAATACGTTCAGGTAAGGGGTCGGAAAGTGGCGCTGTGACAGACTCTACATCTATATCCAGATTTTTTAAAAATTTATTGAAGTCTGCATTTTTCATGGGTATAGGAGTACTGTAATACTGTTTTGGAGGCGTATTTACTTTTGTCACCGGTCTTTTCTGTAAAAAGACATAGAAGTGTTAGTTTATATTAATTTGATAAATCCTTCTCAAAAGATACTTACTATATTAACATCTTTGTTATCATTGAAATGACGAACTGAAAAAAATAAAGTACTTTTAATTAAAAAATATAGGATTATTTATAAAGTAATATAATATAAAAAAAAAAATAATTATAAAATTATAATAGACATTAATCTACATTGTATCAAATATTCTATCAGTTATAGATTTTTGTGATATTCTTAAAGAGCTTCGAGTCCAGCAGAGGAGTTTCTTATATATTTAATTAATACTTACCTGGTTGAGATACTCTTGACCCTTTAGAACCATTCCCATTAAACATTGGTAGGTCATTATGACTTTGTTTGGATTTATATTTCTTTTGCTCTAAATAATTTAAACAGATTGTTTTAAGTTTACGGCTATTACAAAATAAATACAAGAAGAATACAGTATTTAGAAAATATTACCAATATTTTTGTTTTTTTCTAAAGTCGTAAAGTTTTTATCGTATGCCGACATACTCAGATCACTAGTTGGTCTAAATGTGTACGGCTGTTGATCTACGAAATAATAAATATATAAATTATAGTACAGTACATTAGTATAATAAAAAAAATAGTAAAAAAAGTTTTGATTATTACCAGAAGGTTTCTCTTTTTCCAAATTGTTAAAGCCTTCATCGTATTCAAACGTTGCCTGATCCTTAAAAGTTGTCCTGACTTTTTTCTTCTTTATACCTATAATTACGAATAAAGAAAATTTTAATCGGAGTTTTTACGAAGTCGAAGAATAAAATTAATAGAGTTTTTTTAGGTATACCAGAATTCTTGATTTCTTTGAAAAAAAATGAATTTTCATCATTTGCAAATATTATGTCATCAGTGGGAGTTGGGCTGGCTTTATGTTTTCTTTGAACTGTTAAATAATCGGTTGAAATTTTTTAAATGTGAGCATTACACTTCAGTTATGTTATTAAGTAGATATAAATAAGCTACAATAGTAAATATAATAAGTTATAGGGCTGATTTTTATAAAGGGGAAAATTCTTTTACGAAAACTGTTATTGACACTATATTTGGGTTATTGAGAGTTGATTTTTATTTTTAAGAGTTAAACTAATAAGTTATAATCATTATTTCCAAAAAAATATATATGTAATAATAAAAATATTTTAAAATATTACTATTTTTTTTATCTTCTTCTATATTAAATGTTTTTTCGTATTCAAGCATTGGTAAGTCATTAGGTGTCACTGTATATTCATTCTTAGTTTGAACTGTAATATAAAAAAAAATACAGAATTTTAAGTATAATATATAAATTAAAAAACATAATTAAAAAATTCAAATTTACCAAAATTGTTGACTTCATTATTATCACTTTTCTCATAGACAAACGTTATCAAGTCTTTTAGAGTCCGCTCGTATTTATTCTTCTTTTTAACTGAAATTTAAAATAAGATCAAATTACAATGTTGTTAATTGAAAATAAGAACACTTTATTCCAATAATACCAAAATTTTTGTTTTCCTGTAAATCAGTAATGCTTTCATCATACGCCAGGGTTATCAGATCATCTGGAATTGGCTCCAATTTATATTGTTTATTTTTACCTGTGAAATTTTAAATAACATATAATCATTATGTTAAGTTATAATAGTAATAAAACTATATTTTAGGATTACCATAATTTTTGTTTTCTTGATAATACGAGCTGTTGTCATATTCATAGGCTGTGAAGTCAATGGGAGTAGGTGTGAATGAGTTTTTCTCGGGCACTGTAAAGTTAAATAATTGGTAAATAAGTTTTGTTTGTCATTATATGTGACTGAAAATATAATTAAACATTTTCATGAACCATTACCAAAATACTTGTCTTCTCCCAAATAACTATAGCCTTTATCTTGTGTAAACATTGTAGGAGCATCATTCAAAATTTCTTTCCATGATATTTTCTTCAAGGCTATAATAGTCTAATCATTAATTATCTAGACGTTAAAATGTATTTTTTTATTTAGGAATTTAAAAATATTTACCTAAGTCTTTGGTGGTTTTTTGAATACCGAAAACAAGATTATCATAATTTAAAGAACTCAAAGTAGATAATATCACTGGAGAATACTTCGATTTAAAGAAAAATAATTCACCCTTTTTTGTATTTATCTTTGAAAAACCCAATTTATCCAAGTCGTACACATTAGTTGAGGTTAATTTTTCATCATATTTATCAGTTTCTAAAATATTATGAATAAGAGGCCTCTCTATTTGATAATCTTTTAAAGATTTACTTTGAAAATCGTCGTAATTAAAAGATTCTTTCTTTTTTTCTAATTCTTTTCCTACACCGGTGGTTTTTTGTATTTCTTTGTTTTTGCTAAACTTCGATAATCTTAGTGCCATCTCATCTACTTCATTTTGTATATTATTTTTAGTCATGGCTGTTGAAAATGCATAAGAAATAGTATTCATCTCACGACTGTGAAATAAACTCTCAGTTGTTGTACCTATCTGTTCAATAGCAATATCATTAGTTTTCTTCTTGTTTACTGAAAATTATGAAAAAATGTAATGATGTCTAAGAATTTAAAATTTTAAAATTATTTTTTAAGTATTTAACTCAAAAGTAACATATGTAAACAATACATTTAAATTCTCTAACTTACCATAAGAAATTAAATAATCTTTTGTTTCATAGCTTAATTCAGGTTTTTTGTTCTGTGGTAAAAAATTTCCTTGTCTTCTGTCTGAATTGATCGAGTTTAAATCACTTAAATTCGAGAAATTTTCACTTTCGGTTATATTAGGAATTTGTAGTCTTAACTCATCAGTCTTTAAGACTTCACTTATTTTTTTAACTTCGTAAGGTTGTTCCATGTGTTTGCTGGTAGTCAAAATTTCATAATCAAATATCTTGTGAAGCCTTGAACCTTTACTGGTATCTTTAAATATATTTTTTATTCCTTTAAAAATTTTAAACATATTTTGACTTTCACGTTTCTCTTTCTTTTTAATTTTGCCATGGCCAAATCTTATTTTACGGAAAATATTACGCAACTTGTGTTCTTTTTTATTTTTATTATTTAATTTTATTATAGCGGTTGGCTTATTAATAAAATCTATATCAACAAAACCATTTTTTCGATGATCAAAATTTAACGATGATCCTGGTTTTTGCTTATTATGGTTTACTAGGTTGGATCTTTTAAACATTTTTCGTAGATTTTTCCTTTGTTTACAGTCACCTAAGAAAATAAATAATATAACTTACTATTAAAACTGTAACTATACTAGTTAATTTTGGAGTAATTCTGAAAAGTGTTTTAATGCCGAATGTAACTAAAGTTTATTATGTTATAAATATAAAAGTATCTATGTATGTGTTATTATTTAAAATCTATGACTAGTATACTTAATGGTTAAATAGATAAAATTTATTTAATTTACCTTTTAAACAATTGTAATCAAATCTTTTTACGAATTTACTTTTACGTTGCTGTATTGGTAGTGACGATTCATTTTTTTCAAATGTTTGCTTTGTACTTAAGACGGCGTTATCATATCTCATATTATGTACTTCAGAAGGTTTGAGTGGTACAATTTGTGATGTATGAAATTTCTTAGGTGGGTTTGAATCTATGAACATAAAAAAATGTTTCTTAAACCAAGACTCTTCACTTTTAGTAGACACATCTTGATCTTCCATAGTTTCATAATCAACAAGATATCTCCGCATTCTAGTTGCTGGTAAGTGTGGAATTTTATCCAAGATAAACTTTCCTATGTCATCAACATTGTGATGCTTGTGAGCCTGATAACGTATTTGACTAGAATATTTCTGATCGTCATTATCTCTTTGAAAGTTTAAATAGTATTTGTAGCCATTTACATAATCATTGTAGGAGATCTTATTACTTAGACCTTGATAACTTGTATCTTCCGTGCTGATCTCATTGTTTCTTTTATCATTTTTCGAGATTTCAGAAAGTTTTCTGGTATTATTTTTGTTGCTTTCCCAATGAGCATACTCTGTATACAAACCATCTTCTTTGTTGTTTAATTCTTGATGAATGTCCCTTTTTAAAGTTCCACGTGGAGAATCTCTTTTAGATTTTTCTTGTTTGTGCTTTTCCGTACCATAACTCAATGTATTCAAAATTACCTCATTATCATGCTGTGACTTTTCTATTATGTTCTCAAGAACAGCAAGCATTGAAACATCATCCCCTATCGATGGTATGGTATGTGGTGTTGAATCAATAGATTCAATCTGATGGTTTCGTTGATCTAATAATGTTTTACGACTTTTACGTACTTCACTTCGTGTAGAATTATTGTGCATTTTAACAATTTTCGACTTAGTAGCAAATGAATTATTAAATTTTGGGTTTTTTGTATGTTGCGTCATATTAATTTTTTTGGAGAATTTTTTATCCAGTTGCTTCTTAACAGTGGAGGTCTTTTTATTCATATCATTTCGCAAATCTTTAGAAAATTTATTTTTAATTTGTTTATAAACTTTCTTTAATTTGTTTTGTAAAAAATTTTCAACGTCATTTGCTAAGGTGGAAGTATCCTCCTTTATAGAACGACGAAATATATTACGTAACTTAGAATTATGAACTTGAGTACCGTCAAGCGTGGAGCTAAATCTATTTTTGCCAATATCGTCGAAGGAAATTAAGTTAGGAGAAACATTCGATTCGCTTACTATCGGCATAGTCGAAAAAGTTATTTCAGTAACTGCATTTTTTATAAGGTTTGAAAAAGATGGTAAGTGATCTGCCATTGTTTGAATTTCTCTCTGTTTAATTTCATTAAGAATTATTTCCATCTCAGCCGTGGCTGGTAGTTCTGTTTCAGATCTAGTAGATTCCATTAGTAGGTCATTATGTAATACAGGTTTATCGTCTATATTTGATACAGTTGTCGGATTTGAAGACGTCTTCTGATTCATATTGTAATGTTTTTCAAAACCTTTTTCTTTAACAATGCTACTTTTGTCATTATTGCACTTATACGTTTTTATTAAACTATGGAATTTATTAGTTTTACACAGACTCTCTGACTTTTTAGACCCTATCAAATCAGTTTCTTTCGAACTCAGGTCTCTTTTAAAATTAACATGTTTTCTGTTAAGGAGTCCCGCCTTTTTGTTATCAAATGGATTTTGTAATATCTCGCTCGCTAAATAAGTATTTTTTCCTTCATTTAAAACATTATTTATAACGTGTTTAGTGTCCACTTTGACATTTTCCGATTGTTCGTCGGCTTCACATACATATGAATTACTTTTAGATACAGGATGAGCATCAAGAAACACTATATAAAAAAATAAGCTGAAACAAATGTAAATAAAAATTAGGACGTTTTTTTCTTACATGATCATAACTAAGAAAATTGATGTTTTATTTTATCTTTTAATGTGACAATGTTTAGGTAATTCAGGATATTATTTAATACATATAACCACAGTTACAAATAATTTACAAACCGTAAAAAAACTAAAAATAACATTTATTAATACTTTTACAACATATACTACAAATCAAACTTTTCTTGCAAAAATTTGCAGTTGTTTTTATGACATTGTCAAAAGCAAAAAAAGACTAAGAATAGAACAGTCACAATACACAAGCGTGTGTATTATCTGTGTTCTGTATATTATAATAACATAAATCCTTCATAAAAATAAAATATTTTGACAGAAAAATGGATGGAAATCCCGTGACAAATTTGCGACTAATAGCTAGTTTGTACATAATTTATAGAGCAATATTGGATTTCAGTTCAAACTCTACTAAAATTATACACGATTTCACCATCTAGCTCGACCACTTAAGCACTTAAAATGTCGAAAAGATGAATGAACTAACTTTATCCTTTAAAATTGGATAAAAAACCAATAATGTCATGAAATTCCATATATTTTACTTTATTTCGGTATTCGTTATATAATTTATTTACACCGGTAGTTAAAGAATAAAAAATAGAAAAAATGATAAGATAAAAAATATATTTGTATGTTATAAGCTTTCTCATCGTTTTTATTAAATAAAGTATAAATTATGATTTCATTTTATATAAAAAATAAAAATCATTGCACTGATTAGTATTATTATTTAAACTGGTTTATTTTCACTGAAAATCTGAATGAGTAGGTACGTTTTACGACCGAAAGTTATGTTTCTAAGCTTAAATTTCTAAGTTTTATTTGTAAAATTTGAATTTAACGAGTAAGATACGAATACAAATTAAAATAAAACGATTTCAAATTACAAAGATTTTTAAAATGTTTATCCCAATATGTTTGTTTTACGTAGGGCCCGAAGAATTTTTATTAAATTTTGATACCGACCGTACTGGACAATATATAAAGTAGACAAGTCGTGCTAACTTTTCCTTAATTGACTTTGTAATTTTCTGATTGGAAGCAGTTTTCTTTTATTTAAAGATTTCGCTTGATAAAAATTTTAATTCATTAGGAGTTTTGTATGGAGGTAGCTAGTAAAAATATAAAAGGTGCTGTTTGTAATAACTCTCGACATATTTAAACTTAAAACTTATATCGAATTGGAAAACAAAATTCGTTTAAAATCAACTAAACTCTCTCATGTAGAGGAAGACGCGGTAAAAGTGTTAGTTGCTACATTCAAATGTGTAAAACAGATATATACATATGAATATACTACATTACATATTAATAAATAAATATATTTTATACATAAAATGACAAGTCGAAATTTGCATGAACATTTTTCACATGCAACACTGATTTATTTGTATCTAATCAATAAAATATATTTTCATTTAATTATCAACAAAGGTACGTGGTCATTTAATTTTTAAGTGATCAACTAGAGCAAAAGAAATTTAAACTGTAAGTCAGTTTAACACAATTTTTTTTAATTTTATCTTCTAAGAAGGTTAAAGGGGCGAAATTTTATATTTTTTCGATGAGTTTCCCCGATTATATAACTGCCACCTGTAAATAAATAACTGTTTTAACACGTGTTTCATAATTATGTAGCTCGGATGAATATTATATAAAGAAATGATCAATGATTAATATTCTAATTAGAATTTATCAATAATAAATATTTTTCTGATACCCATTCTATAGAAATAACATGAGTAACTTCCTTACATTGCGAATTAATTTTAGATACTGCCTTTTATATTACTGTTTGATGTCCAATATGTACCTACACTTTGAACGAATCCGTAACAAACGTCTGCAGTACTTAGGTATTAGTTATATGAGTAATAATTAAGAAAACATGCACAGGCATTTTCTGTGGTTGTTAAACGATTGTGTAAGATATACTGTGAGTACAAGATACTTTTACAGTAACTGTAATAAGAAGATTAATAAAACTTTTCTATGGCGATTTTAATAATTAATTCTACCTAAATTTCATCACTTGCTCACTGGTTTTCGGGTGTATTAGCAATCTTGCTTGATTAGAAAGAAACTAAAATTAAAACTCAAAAATATGTTCAATATTTAAAGAGCATACGTCACGGAATTTGAAACCACAAATCTTGTAGTGGACAATTCTGTAAAATTATCTTCCATTGCGAAGTTGATTATTTAGGGTAAACACTTCTTCACCGGTTTCATACTTTGAGTTCATTGCAAATAGTGACAATTCAAGAAACTTCATCTATTACGTAATCGACTAAATCATAAGTCTGACATAATCAAATTCGTAAAGTTTTAAAACAGTTCTAGCAGGTTGTCAGTTGGTAGTAGCTTTAATCAAGGTATCATATCCGAATAACCGTGTTGTTCTCTTGGAGTCGTATATATTATGGAACTAAACCCTCACACCATTATTACGCCAACGATAGCGTCACAAAGCTACGCCCCTAATCTTGACTTTTTTGAGTGCTCTCATCTTACAATATATTACATACGATTATAGGATGTCAAAGCAAAATGGGCGTCCAAAGATAATTTCAGATAAAAAGGGTAAGAAAGATTTTATTTTTCACTTTAGATTGACAGTCTTGGTTTGTGATGAAAATTTAACTTTTATCAAATTACCCAATATTCGTTAAAATTTTATTAATATTAGAGAAAAAAATACGAAACGAAATTTACCATATTTCCACCCGATCTTCAATAATCGCATCGTTGAAAATAAATAAAGATATCCATAGAATTATCATATTATAAGAAAATTATAGTATATTCATATTAAAAAGAGTCAAATTTAAAAACAATTAATTATTAATGGCAATTGTTTACTGGAGCTATAAACTAAAAGTTATTTTTATTCTATTTTTTTATTCGTAACTGTAACTATGTGCTAAAATGTATGAGAAGAAACCAGAAAATCATTTAAACCGACCATTGTTGTGGTCATTGTCAATTGGACATAAGATTAGTTGTGTTTATTTTATTATATCCTTGATAATGTTAAATTAGATTCTATTGAAATAATGTGGCCAATAAAACTGAAACCGACAAGTTTTTTAACAACTAATATAAAGAAATGAATAAAACCAAATAGATCATGAATTCATATATGTGAATAATTTAGAATAAATATAAACTTAAATGGCACAGAAATAAAAAGTAAAATAATATGGGAGTTGTTACAAACTAATTTATAATAGTTGAAAAAAACATTAACATTAAAATAAAGGTAAAGGAGCATATAAAAATAAGCAGGCGGAACAATAATATTTCTTCTGTATAACGTTCAATGACAAAGAAATAGTTAAGAAATGTTAATGTAAAATAACTTAAAGATAATGGATAATTTATATAAATAAAAGGAAAATGTGTAACTATTAAATATTTTAAGATTATCTTGAATGGAATAATAAATGTACTTATTAGTTAGTTTAATTACAATAAAGTACATAAATTTTATATAGTCAATGAAGTTTTAAAATAAAAAAAAACAATATTACATAAAATTTTAAATTTACTTTCCACACAAAACTAAAGTCCAAATAGTGCACAAACAACAAACATTGGATTTTCAGAACGGCAACGTTGCTATTAAAAAAAAAAACAAAGTTTGCGAAACTCAATATTTCCAATCTCATAACTTATTCAACTTTCATTTAACAATCAGGTAAGGTCACAAACAAAACTCTTTGTTCAAACGATTTCATATTAAGCACGTATTTGCACTCCGGGTGTTAAACAACTAAGTTAATCGAGATATTAACAGTTTAAATACTGGAACATTGTATTGACTTAGTAAACTTGCTTCATGAAATTTCTCATCACTGTCTTGTCTGTACATTTATACTCTTCTTCCGTTATAGTAATCCGATAAATTCAATAATAATGATTGCCTTTATGACAAATTGAATAAGTTTTTTAAATGAAATTAATATTTTCGGATTTATTATACTCTTTATTGCACTGTATTATACTACTACTTTACAGCAACCGTGATCACGGGCAGACGAAATGTGAGTGTCTACCCGTGTTTATGGTCAAAAATAAAATAATCGCGTAGTAAATCCGAAAATCTTTCATCTCATTAATAAGTTGTTATCGTGAAAACGATCAAAACTTAACAACTCGTTAAAAATATTCTACACTCACTCAAATCTAGATGAAAATTATTGTGTTATATAATATATGTTACTTAATACTGGGTTAATGAGACCACATAACGTTTCTCTAGAAAGCGATCGTACCATTTTATGGCAATAGTTTCGGTACATCTAACATAATTACACGATAACAGAACGAGAATCGAGAAACTATACATTTTACTTTGTTCCAGCATGATATTAGAAGGCTTTCGAGCTTTGTTTGATTGGTTCACTTCCACGCTACATTAAGAAATTATTTTATATTTAGTGAATTTTTACATGCACGTGCCTTTTTCTTATAACTTTTCAGATTATTATTATTATAATAATAAAAGAATAAAATTTGAGTAATTCCTGTAAAGTACTTTAAAATTATACAATCTTTGTGTT